ATCCAGAGAGGGAGAGCGACTGTGTGCTGAAGACCTGGGGGGTAAGGGAAGGATTGCATGGAGGGGATTGTAACCATGGCAATGAGACGATATACGATAGAATGAATGTAAAACTAATGTTCTCCCATGTAAACTATCACATAATTCACAATAATACATTAAAAAAAAAAAAAGATTATAGTCAAGAAACCCTATGGAGTAGGTTCTGCTTTGTAACACCTGAGGTCTTTATGAATTGGCATCAACTGAACATCAATTAACAACAGTATTTATTTATATGTAAAATAATAATTCTGACCTTTACATCAGTTTCTTTACATTATAATCATTTTCATATACTGCATATAATACAATCACAGTATACTTTGTCTACTCCCTATTTTTATGAATTTAGCGTCTGGTACCCAAAAAAACAAAACCAAACCCACAACCATCGAGTGGGTTCTGACCCTCTAGAGTTTTCCAGGCTATAAACCATTATAGGAGCAGACAGTCATCTTTCTCCCAAAAAAGGGTTGGTGGTTTTAAAATGCCGACACCATGCCCAACACCTAACCCACAATGCCACAAGTGCCTGGTACGGTACAATGTAAAGTGGAAGAATTGAACATTAGCGTTCAATCAGCTTGAGCAAATGTGATTTTAATGAAGTAATTATAATTCTATTTCAGGCTTCAAAAATATAAAGTACTGTTGCCTTAATTCCATTTTGGTCTAGTTTCTTTGCTAAAATAATATTAACATCCTAAGGAATCAGATTAAAATATATTCTTTAGGATTCTCTTAAATACTTGGGCATAAAGCCCCCCCCCACTGTAAACACTGAGTCATTTTAACAATGATTAAAACAATTACAGGAAAATGACTGCCCTTTCCCTAATTTCCTTACACTGATATAAACAGGTATTATAAATTATATCATATTCTCACACAACACCTACCCAGTGCTGACTATTTATTTTGCCTTTGGTGGGGAGTTTCAAATCAACCACTTCTCAAAGAAGAGACCTGACTTTATAAATCTACATATAACTTGTTAGCAAACTTCTATAAAAACAAGGACTCCTAGTGGTAGTGGTTAAGCCCTCCACTGTTACAGGAAAGCTCTGCTTCCGTGAAGATTTACAGCCTTGGAAACTCTACTCTGTCCTATAGGGTTATGATTAGTCGGAACCGACTCCAAAGTAATGGGTTTTTATAAAAACAAAAGGCAGCTATAAAAAGTGCTGGCAGGTTAAACCCAAGGTCAAGCACTTAATTTTTAATATATAATCTGTGCAACTAGAACCCCTTTTACCCTTAAAGTAGACACCCAAACAAAAGAACTTGCTAATTATTGATCTTAAAAGAGCTTTACAACGTTACATTTTAGGTAGGTCATTCAGTATTTGAGTGGCATACTTAATCTGAAATTCAGGAACCGCCATTATCTAAAACAGTTTAACAGCAACTACCAGCCCCAAACCAAACCCATTCCTTTCCAGTGGAACTCATAACAACACTATGGGGCAGAGCAGAACTGCCCCATAACATTTCCAAGGATGTAAATCTTTATGGAAGCATATTTCTCCTGATGGTCAATTTTGAGCCCGTGACCTTTTAGTTAGCAGCTAAGCACTTAACCATTGTGCTAACAGGGCTCCTTGTACCAAGTACAGCTGATACTATTCATCGAAATTATAACCAAAGAAACCAGGGAGCTCAGCTTAAGAGTATTTGCCAGAAGAGGCCCAGCTGATGTCATTGTTATTCAGCTCAACATTTGATTGTATACTGTTGTTGTTAGTGCCTTCGGGTTGGTTCCGACACACAGCAACCCTGTATTAGGTTTCCAAGGCTGTACATCTTTGCTGGAGCAGAAAACCTCACCTTTCTCTCCTGGAGCTGCTGGTAGGCTTCAATCACCAACCTTGTGTTTCACAGTTCAGTGCTTATCATAGTCACCGCTTTGTTAGATGCTGGTCATTGTTCCAGACATTAGCAGAGACCCACAGATGATCACAACAGACAAACACACACAAAGCAGGTAATTTCAATGCAATATAGTGTCCATCAGAGGACAACCCCACCATCAGTGACTAAGCAGCTATGAGATGGAATGGACTCGCCATGGGCAAAGGATTTCGGGGTCACATCTGGTTTGAGTCCCCCCCATCTCTATGGCATTGGCAGAATTCCTGTTGCTTTCGGAATTAAATTATTACTAATTTTCTAAATTCGGAAAAGTAGCCCTGGTGGTGCAATGGTTAAGCCCTCCTGCCAACTGGTTGGAACTCACCTAGCAGCTCCAAGGAGGTGGGTTCCAACCCCTTACCCTTTCCACCAAAAGGAAAGAAACCACTTAGCCTTTCCACCAGAAGGAAAGGTAATAATCTAAATGAGGCAGTTCTACTCTGTGACATTGTGTGAACACGGTCAGAATCCACTCGACAGCACCTAACAAGACGCTCAGGAAAAGTGATTTATCAGCTTCAAATATGGTCATTATGGAATGGTTCTTAAACTTAGTGTCTCCCAAACACCCTAGAAAATGACGAGTTACAACGTCTCCCAAGAAAAAAAAAACGCACTCAATATCTTTCAAACAATTACAGAGGTTAACGGTTCCCTGGGAATCCACGGAAATAACTTCTGCAAGAGAGCAATTTGAAGATTCAAAATTCGGAAGGACGGGTTAACTTTCATTTCAAAATATAGTATTGTGAGAACGTTTAACGTTTAACACGTACTGACATCTTCCATCAATTTCAACTTATTACCAATTTCAAGTCATTAGTGGAAAGTCAGTTTTGGGATAAATTGTGAGGCTGCCTTGTAACTGTTGGCTAAGTGCCCTAGAGTCGGTTCCAACTCATGGGACCCTGTATGGGGTTTCCAAAGCTTGTAAATAATAGTAAGTTTTACACGGCTCTGGAGAGTTTCAAATATAAGGCTCTGAAAAGAATTGTTACCTCCAAAAAATCGTTGTTTATGCCATAATACCACTCTCTCCAATGTCCATGGCTCTCTGGAGATTTGGTCAGTTCTATCACAGCATTGTCTGAAGAAATGCTAATAACAGGTTCTCTGGTACTCAACTTATTCTCTGGAGCAAATTGCAAAAGGAAGGAATAATAAACACAGTTTTGTGTGGAGAAGCACAATTTGTATCGGAGGGGGCTCAAATCCCCTTGAAGACTTTGCGGCAGGATCTGTGGAACTTGAATTAACAGAGTCAGGGATTCTTTTTTCTGTTTACATTGCAAAGGCGGACACAAAAGTTCCCGGTTCTCGGTCCCAGGACCACCCATGGCTCCGTAAAATGGCTCCCAGCTGGTGCCTTTCCGGTGCACGTGAGTCTCCACACTAAGATCTCTGGTTGCCCTCCCGATTTCTGAAGAAGAGTCGGCGTCAAGATCCCTGGTTAAAATACTAAGCGAATCTCCGCCACCGTCCCCTGATGAGTTTCCGGCTATTAAAAGCGGCTCCTCTAGCGTACCACGAGGAGATTCCGCGTGCCCGCCTATGTCCTGCTCTTCCGGTTCGAGAGCAAGTTCCTCCGGGCCGGCTGGTGGTGACGCCTCCTCGGAAGCACAGGGGCTGACGACTTCGGCGTCTGCTACGCTGTCTCCGCTGGCACCAGAGTGTAGATCCTCAGTGTGAGTCTCAGCCAGGCCCGCTTCCCCCTGGAGATCGGAAACGCGAGCCGCGCAGTCAGTTCCCGACTGGTCAGCGGACACTTCCGGCACCGTGGCTGGCTGTGGATGCGAGACAGGTAGCGTCACCGGCAACGTGACTACCAGCTGCCTCCGGGCCTTGTTGAATTGCGCCTTGCCGCGGCTGTCGTCCACTGGGTACGGGAGCGAAAGCCGCAGCCGATAGTCAGGCTTCCTTGAGTCGAGGCACAGCAGCTTTCTCGTCACCTCCAGTGCCGCCTGCTCGGCAGAACGCAGGAGCGGCAGCTCGATGGTGATCACCAGCTCGTGGGGTACGGTGCTCGGGACTGAGTCCCGGGAGCAGCGGTAATCCTGTAGGTCCACGTGGTGGCGCTGCACCACGCTGTATCGAGGCTCGGTGGGGACGGGGGGTTGAGAGGGCGCCTCGGTCTTGGGGGCCACAGAGTTTCCTGAAGCTGCCGGGTGCGGGTACTGGTAAGGATAAGGGAAATCCGGGAGAGGGCCCTCCGACTCCTCTTCGGTCCGAGCTGGGACACCCCCGGGCAGAGGTGTACGGAGCACAGCGGCCTCCGGGGACCCCTTGTACTTGATCTTCAGGGTCTTAGCATTCCTGCGATCCAGCTTTACACCAAACTGCTTCTCGACGGCCTCCAGGGCCGTGGTGTCCAGCATGTGTCGGAAGCGCTCGTAGCGCCGGGCGAGCGCCAGAGTTTCTGGGTGGAAAACCACGTCATAGACCGTGTAGCGGGTGCCCCGTCTCCCCGCGTACTCACGACCTGGGGACAGGCTATGGGGCAGGGACCAGTGGAGGCCGGGGGCAGAGCCCCCGGAGCCAGGCCGACTGCTCGGAGCGCCCACCAGCACGTTACTACACACATTCACAAAGCTGCGCCGTACTCCATCCAAACTGGTGCGCAGCACGTATCCCGGTTCCGGGTGCACAAACCGAACCTCCACTCCCCGCTCACGCTCCAACTCGGTGATCTCTTTTTCGTAGCGTCGTCGGTTCTCGGGGTCTGTGAGCTCCTGAGCGTACTCGGAGAACAGCCGGCGGAACTCTGGGTCCTGGAAAGCGGAGGTGAGCCTCTGTACCTCGTCTCCGCTCAAATCCAAGTCCTCCAATGGCGTGGCAGCAGCCTTCGACATGTTGCCCGTAGACCCTTCTTTCGGTGCAAGGGAAGGGCAAATCTAAGGCTTGGTGAGTAGGACACGCCACGGAGCTCCAGGTCCTCATAAGTGAGGCAACTGTGGTCAGTAACGGCTAGAGAATTGAGCCCTGGGCAACGCGTGCCCGTTGCCATAGTGACATCGCCAACACCTGGGAGGAGGGACTAGAATACTGAGGGAATGGTAGAAATGCCAGAAATCTACTACCCTACCGGATGTTTTCTTCAGGTACCTGTGCCACAGTGAAATTAGCCTTACCTCAAGTTTATCAAGCACGGAGTCATGAGTATTACAATCTGTTGTTTTCCAAGAACAGTTCAGAGTACCCTTTTAGTGCTGTATCTACACCGGCCCAGCTTTCCGTTTTCTACTTCCTACCCAGCTGTTCCGTTGAGAGAAAGATGAGGCTTTCTGCCCAGTAAACATTACAGCCTCGGAAACCTTATACAGGGTCGCGTTGAGTCAGAACCGACTCCACATCACCATCCACCCCACCCCCCACCCCCATAAAGGATAGAAAATTATAAATGGGAACTGAATACAGGTGTGTCTCCTTGTCCTTCCACTCATTGGTTAAATTGCTTCTATAATTAGCTTTTTATCCATCTTTCATTTCTGGATGATGCTGAAACTAGGGTCTTAGTGTCCGTGTTATTCTCATTTCTTGGTTCTGACACTTTATCTGCTGTTAGTAGCTGCCTTGCATCATTTCACTTTAACTTGTCTAATGACTAACCCCTAATTGCGCCATTAAGTGCCACCTAGTAGGTTTCGACTCATCTACCATATAGAGAGGGTTTCCAAGGATGAATGGTGTGTTTCAACCACCGACATTGCAGTTAGCAGTCAGTGTTTACCCTACAGCACCACACTAGGTGTCCTATCGCCTAGTTATTGATTTCCTAAAAGTATCCCAAATTACTTCAACTTTAATTGTACGAGGCAATTATTTGTTAAATGAATGAGTGAAAAAGGGATGCCTTTTAACTAGTTCTATTTTTCTTTCATATACAGCTGTATTGCTCTCATAACCAGGCCAACAACACCTGTGTCCATTTGATTACTATTTTCAATGTCTAAAATGTATATTTTCAAGCAATCTAGTGGGTTTAAATTTATTCCTTAATTTTATATTTAAACTTGTGGGTTTTTTTCAGGTTAGTCTTGAGAAATTAAAGCTGCTAGACCCGTTGCTTGTCAAACAGACCCCCTTCTAATGTGCTTCCCACATTTTCTATCCTCAAACCATATTTCAAATTGCCAGCTCTTCCTTACTACGAATTCGTTTAACCCTGAGCTCAGGTTTAATTTTGAATAGTTTCCACTTCACTATGTTATATTATTAATATCTCTTCCAAAAAGTAAGAAAGGAATGCTGGTGGTGCTATAGGATAAGCAGTGGACTGCTGACAAGATCATGAGCTCATTTTTACCAGCTGCTCCTTGGGAGAAAGGCTTTCTGCTCCCATAAAGATTTATAGCCTGGAAAACCATAAACAGGATCACTATGAGTTAAAACCAATTTGATAGCACCTAACAACAACTTCCCAAAACTTACTTTGAAATAAAATGTCTTCCAGTCTAGACCTTGTGTAATTTCTAATGTTACTCCTATATTTGAAACACTCTCTGTACCCCTACCTAAACTCTCTATCATTCTGATATATTTCTGGGATATCTTTTCATCAAGTTCATAAACTAAGTGGCAGTGAGTGATTACATACAAAAACAATAAAACATGCTGCTTTGAAATGAACATACCTTCTAAATGTTTGTATATTGACAATATCAAAAACTTCAGTGATTATGTAACATATCAAACTAATATTCTGACATAAAGCTTTTCAGTAGAATAAATTCTGTGATGTAAATTTAGTTTCAAAACTGCTGAGTATACTATTGAAATTTGTATGGCGACAAAAACTTGTTATACCAAAACAATGATTTGGGAAAGTTTAAATATGATCAATATAGATATAACTGTTGTTGTTGTCAGGTGCCATCGAGTCAGAACCAACTCATAGCGACCCTATGCACAGCAGAACGAAACAATGTCCGATCCTGGGCCAACCTCACTACCGCTGCCACACTTGAGTCCATTAATGAAGCCACCTGGCCAATCCATCTCGTTAGGGGTCTTCCTCTTTTTCTCTGACCCTTCACCTTACCCAGCATGACATCCTTCGCCAGCGACTGTTTCCTCCGGACAATATTGATTATATCAGGATTGTATCAAGATTGACATCAAAATTTTAAGAGACAGTATAGATATAAAACCAAACGGCCACCACTCTTCTGTCTGTCGTGCTGTGGTGGTTTGAGTTGCTGTGATTCTGAGGGCTATGCCACTGGTGTTTTACATAACCAGCAGGATCACCCATGGTGGACAGGTTTCAGATGAGCTACAAAACAAAGACAGACTAGGAAGAAAGAGTGACAAACTACTTCCGAATCGCTAGTCACTGAAAACTCTATGAATAGCAGAGAAACATTGTCAGACACAGGACCGGAAAGTAGGAAGGCACTCAGAATGCGACTGGGGAAAAAAATGCCTCCTCAAAGTAGAGTTGACCATAATGACATGAATAGAGTTAAGCTCGGGGGAGAAAAGCACACAGAACCTGCATTTGCTGATGGGCAACAACTTAAAATGAAGAGAAACAGCTATAAACATCCACAGAAAATTGGAACATGGAATGTACGAAGTATGAATGAATCTGGGAAAATTGGAAGTTGTCAAAAATGAAATGGAACGCATAAACATCGATAGCTTAGGCATTAGTGAGCTGAAATGGGCTGGTATTGGCCATTTTGAATCTGATAACTACATGATTTACTATGCAGGGAATGACAAATTGAAAAGGAATGGTGTTGCATTCATCGTCAAAAAGAACATATCCAGATCAGTCATGAGGTACAATGCTATAAGTGATAGGATAATATCCATGCGCCTAACTGTTGTTAAGTACTATCAAATCAACTCCAACTCATAGGGACTCTAGATAGGGGTTCCAAGGAGCAGCTGGTGTGTTTGAACCACCAACTCTGTTGTTAGGAGTCCAGTGTTTATCATATAGCGCCACCCCAAGACTCCATAGAGATAACTAAACTTACTTGTTAAGTGCAAATGTACACTTAGATCATATTTTTACACACACATGTATTTTTTCTTAAAACACTATGTAGAAAATATTTCCTATAGAACTTTCTAAAGTATATCATGTTTTTATTGTGCTTTAATGTAAAGACTTGATGAAACAAATAGAATGTTCTAAAGTATATTATAATTTTATTATAACTTAATATCAAAATTGCATAAAATATAAATGTAAGCAAAAAAGCTGATGAGTATCGTTTCCTCGTATGGTCCTTAAGGATCTCAGAAGCCTTGAAGTTTGCTGAAAACAAAAAGTGAAAAAATAAAATCTTTTGGAAACCTGACTTATTGCACATTTCTTATAAATTAATTTTACATAAGGATTAATATATGCACATTGTTTCCAATGCAAAAGGCATACAATGAAAAGTAAGCCAATCTCTTACCCCACTCCTGTTCCTCACATGAACTTGTGTTTGTGTCTACATAGTCATATACCATTATGTTTGTATATGGATATATCCTTTAACAATGCTTATATGAGTACAGAATACTATGCATATTATTCTGTATGGGGGTGGGGAGTTGTTTCAATTAGTAGTAAATTTATCATTTATTTCACCAGTCCCTTTTTTTTGTGGTTTGAAATTTATAAGAAAATTTCTGAATTCATGTTGATGTACCTACTGACCATCTGATTTTTGGCAATATAACACCAGGAGGAAGCATCTTCTTCCTGTTTTGTAGGTACACTTACCTATCTTCTATGGTCTTATTAGAAGGATAAAATACTTTAAATGAAAATCCACTTCTTGGAAAAGAACCCTGTGAGAAGAAAAATGCCTATAAGTGAATATTCAACATTTATAAAATATTTCCTATTTTTAAAATTAAATCCCTTGTTGTTGGGAGACTTTTAGTTAATAAAATTCCCACCTTAAAAATAGGGTTACAAGATGTGAATAATAAGTAACAAGACAGATTTTTACATGATCTTTATAAAGAGGTTGTTGTTGTTAAGTGCTGTCAAGTCGGTTCCGACCCATAGCGACCCTGTACAGGGTTTCCGAGGCTATAAATCTTTACGGGAGCAGAAAGCCTCATCTTTCTCCCACGGAACGGCTGGTAATTTTGAACTGCTGTCCTTAAGGTTCGCAGCCCAATTCGTAACCACTACGCTACCAGAGGAGGTGTTATAAAACATATCTCCACTTGAAGCAAAAGTTTTTCAGTTGGCTAAGTTGTGTTAAGATATTTAACTGGAAATGCATAGGAATGGCTTTAGTTGGTATGAAAAATAAACAATATGTGGTGCTAAATATATATATGAGGTACTCAAACATCATACTCAATAGTTTCCTGCTTCTTCCCAAAACCAAAACTTAGGTTTGCTCCTCCTCCGATGTGCCCTAAAGCACTGAACGATAATGGCAGTTATCCACTACTCAACTGTAAAGTTAATGAGCAGTGACTCTGTCAACTTAGTCTTTGTGTCCCTACAAGAACAAGTTTATAGGGATGAAATAATGTCAAGAGCAATGAATGTTTGGGTTTGCTGAAGAGGTATATGTAAAAAAAGACATAATGGTGGTATAGGAAGTGGTTGTTTACAGGAAGAAAAAGTGTGAAAATTTAGAAATTACATGTTTTGAAATACAGCAATAGCTATGAAAATGTCCATAGAGTTTAATTTTGATGAGAAAGTGACATCATTGTGAAACACTATTTGAATGTGAATACAAATGCAAAAATCAAGCCACAATGATAAGCAATGAAACCAAATCAGGTAACCACATTTATCTCATAGTGATATTCAACTATGGATAATTTTGTCATCCAGGGGACATTTGGCAATGTCTACAGACATTTTGGAGTCCTGGTG